ACTGTTTGGGTGGTGGCTTTTCCTGTGGGAACCTCAGCACAGAGGGCCAAACTGATAGCTCCGACTGAGGCCCTTAGGCTTGGAAAGAACAAATGATTGAATGTGTACACAGACAGCCGGTATGCTTTTGCTACTGCACATGTGCATGGAGCCATCTACCAGGAAAGGGGGCTGCTCACAGCAGAGGGAAAAGCTATTAAAAATAAATAAGAAATTCTTGACTTGTTGGCGGCTCTATGGCTGCCTAAGAAGTTGGCTATTATCCACTGCCCCAGGCACCAGAAAGCTAACACGCCCATAGCTCAGGGAAATCAGAGAGCAGACCGGGTTGCCAAAGAAGTAGCTTTGGAGGCCTTCCAGATTTTGCCAATACAACTGCCAGGTCCTGCCCCCCCATCCTACCTGATCAGCCTCACTATTCCCAAGAGGATATGAAATTGATACACAAACTTCCCATGACCTAAAAGATCGAGGCTTGGTGGTATACAGGAGACTGTAGAATTATTCTGCCGAATGACTTGGCCAAAGGCCTCCTCACACACATCGACCAAACCACTCACCTGGGTACAAGGAAGACAGCTGAACTCTTAAGAAATGCTCACTTAAAAGTCTTGAATCTCTGCCCACTGGTTAATGCAGTCGCCTCTAAATGCCTTAGCTGCAAGCTGACCAATGCAGAGAACCATCCTAAGGAGCAAGGGGCTCAAAAGAGGGTCTCTAGGCCAGGGGCCCACTGGGAAATGGACTTTACAGAAGTTAAGCCAGGCAAGTATGGATCAGGATGGGCTGAAGCCTTCCCCACCAAACATGAAACCGCTCAGGTGGTGATCAAGAAATTGTTGGAGGACATCTTACCCAGGTATGATGTCCCAGCCCTTCTGAGCTCCAACAATGGGCCAGCCTGCATCACAGGTAACCCAGGAACTAGCTAGGATATTGGAGGCTAGATGGAAATTACATTGTGCATATAGGCCTCAGAGCTTGGGACAGGTAGAAAGAAT